AGTAACGTCGAGTTGGAGAGAGGTTTACCTGGATGAGTTTCGGTTCGGGTTGTAAGTCGTCTCCGTCAAAGAGCTGAGATCTTTTCCTACGTTTACTCAAAGTTGAAATAAATTGACTGGTTAGTTTCTTGAGATACAGAAAGGTCAGATTTATTGAGGAAGTCGAAAGGTTTCGACATGCATGTTCAGATCTGAGTCGGTTACCTGAGGTGTTGTTCGGCGGTTGATCAGATCGAGGGTTCGTCGGCGTCTGGAAGGTCAGATGAGGTGTGAGCAGGTTCTGGTTTGAGTCGGGTTCAGAGGGTTCATCGGTTCAGCTGATCTGCGGTTATCGTCGGTCGGAGGTTTGAGAAGAGGAGGTTATCTTCAAGGTGGAGAAGTTTCAGTGACTTTCGTCGGTCGAGGTGACCGGAAAGTAAGAGAGAAGGCAGAGCGTTTAGAGAGAGAAGGGAGAAGACATTTCGGCAGAGCTTCGCTAGGGTTTCGAGTTCTGTCGGAGAAATCGAGAGTTGTGTCGGCATTTATACAAGGTGGAGATTTGTGGGCTTTAGTGTACAAAGGCCGATCCAACGTTATTGGGCCTTCGCGTCTTCTGGCCCATTTACCCGCACTTTAGTTAAACGTCGTCGCTGCGTACTTCGAGTATAAAAAGGTGTCTTCGTCTTCATCACTTCTGTGGTCGTCTGTTAGAGCTGAGGAAACAGAGTGATAAGGTCATCTTCTCTGGTGAATTCTCCGNAATGATAGATTCTTGTACGAGCTTATATTGTATTCTGTGATATAAAGCTTAGTGGATTGGGAGCAAGAGTCTCCCCCCAGATGTAGCGTAAGCGAACTGGGTAACCAAACTCTCGTTGCAATTTTTCTTTCGATTGCTTAGTAAACAAGAAACAAATCGAATCCGGGAAAAGTATTATCGAGTTCAAAACCTAACAATTTCTTTTCCTTCACATCACACAACCCAATCATTGAGCTCAATCTCAGTCTTCACGTAAATCTTTTCATGCACCCCACCAATTCTTAGAACTTGATTACATCCCAACCGTACATTACGGTCAGGATTCGCCGGTAGGGTTTTCCAAGTCTGTGTCTTGATGTCGAACAGCTCAAACCAACTTTCGTGCTCGAACAAAGCATTACTTCCTTCCAAGACATAAATCTTGTCGTCAAGAACACATGCAGTCGCATAGAACCTCTTCATATTCATGTTAGGAAGATTACGCGAAGTCTTAATCCGACAGTCATAATCCCGAACAGCTGTAGAGTAGCGTCTTACGTTATCGTCCAAGAAATTATGATGATTATTTGTATATAGCTGACCAAGAAATTAATATATACTAAGGAACTATAAATAAAAATAATATAAACCATAAAAGGATTATAAAGTTTCTAAAGTTTTGTAGATTTTGTTTATACAGAAACCCACGCATATGTATATTTGTGTCACAAAGACTAAAGAAAATATCTATCTTATTAAAACAAGATCACGATACGAGACTTCACAGAATATGTCTCTCGTGGTTTCTAAACCTAATATATATGTCATGATGTAACAAATGTATATGTATAATCGCTCAAAATACATGTTCAATTTTTTTCCATAACATTCGTATACACCTGCGTACATAATTTCAACGTACTTAACACACTTACTTGACTCTGACCCGTACCGACACAAAAATAAATTTTTATTTTATAAACGTATAATAGTAATATAGTATCACGAAATTTTTTAAATATGTAATTTAGATTCTAGTGTTAATAAAGGATTCAAATAAACGGTAGGAGAAAATAGTTCAATTAACTTTGCATAGTTTTTTTTTAATTAAGAACTGAGAAGCAGTTTAAGAGTACACAAAGCAAACGGTGTTCATTTTTTTTTTTTGATAAGTATGTGAATTTTCATTAATCAAAATGACACAAGGAGATACAAGGTTTTGAGGATTCAAATCCTAGATATCTAAGAGGCTAATCAAAGCTTTGATGTTGTAGAGAGCCACAAAAAAAGGTAAAAAAGACGCTCTAGAAAAATGAAGGTTTAGCAACAATCCCAAAGATATATGACTAAAGCTTAGCAAGATTAAGATATCAGAACAACCAATAAGCTGCAGTAGATCACTTCATGAATCTCATTACCGGAACCTGTAACAAGAGAAGGGATCAATAGAGTAGACAACCGGAGAACTGTCCAAGGCACCGCGGACGGTCCCAAAGGCGACTTCAAACGGAGGATAGGCGAAGCAGGATTGACCAAGTCCTGGTCCGGCCACCACAACCGTCGATAGTCCACTCCAGACGCTGCACACACTCCAGAAAGGCAACAAGCCAGCTCCCTGTTGACCCAACCCAATGCGAAGAAGCCAGTAGAATAAGCACTGGTGAGTACTGGCTGAAGGAAGCGGAGGTTCTATCGGCTCGACTCCGGTCCCTACACACGAGCAGAGCACTAAAAGATTCTAAGCATCGAGTCGGCAGGTACAGGCGGTCTCCTTTCTTCTGAAGCTTTGAAGTACAGAGGAGCTTGGAAACTCCCATCAACAGGCAAAAGCGATAAAATACCCGCACATGGACCAGAGATAGAACAGAGCAACGGCACGAAGCCCATGACCATCTCACGCCATAGAGACAGGACCAAACAAACCCATTCGCCATGGTGGTTGTTTAGAAATCCAGACGGAGAAGAAGTCCCCAACGAATGCCTCTGATTCGCCTTTACATCTTGGACCGAAGGTTAGATGAGGAAGTTCTTACCAAAGCAGTCGACGGAGGAGGCAGGGGAGGACAGAGGAGGCAGAAATCAACCCAGAGGAGAGAAGGCAGGGACGCTCATCCACTCCGGTGAGCCTCCGTAACATGTCAGATCTGTTGAAGTCAAACCCTAGATCTACCATCAAATCGACGCCTCCTGACAAGATCCGACCACCCACGACCTCGCTATCACTCCGGAGTTGCTGAGTACACACCCAGAAACCTTTTTGTTCGACAGATCCGTCCGCTATCCACGAAAACCAGAGGTGATACGCAAAGAGGAAGAAGGAATGAGAGAGCTTAACAGGGAGGAGGCTGGACACGGGAGCAATTGGGGGTGGCGACCGACGGGTAGAGACCCTCCGTCGGCCACCGGAACCGAAGGCAAAGGAGAGTTTGACGAGTGAACGATGAACGGAGGGGGAGAGAAGAAAAGAGAGAATCCACTCTCTCACCTCTCTCTTCTCTTTTTTTTTTTTTTTTTTTTTTTTTTCTTAATTCTTACGACCTAATTAAGTCTCTGAGTTCGTAAGTAACTTTTGAGAACATCCATGACAGCTCCAAAATCTACTTTCACTTCAACAGGAGGATTAGAGAATATGCAAGCCATGTCAGGTATAGCATTCGAGTGATAATCAATCTCCCACTGAGTAATCTTCAACCCATGAGAAGCAGAATCCTCTTGCATGCGCCATCGCATCCCTAGCTCCTCCTCCGTAGCCTCTTCCACAGTCCCATCACACTTCTTAAGCACATACACTCTGGTTAACTTTGTAAAACATTTTTTTTTAAAATGTGGATCTTTTTGAAATGAAAGGAGTATTAAATAAAAAAGGCTCCTCGCAAGACCACTATATGATCTCAAAGTTATTGGGTCTCTGTTCATTCTGAACCTTATAGATTTTAGATTTGACATTACGTAACAAATGCTCCGTATAACTACTCGAAATACATGATCAGTTTTAACAAAATTAATATTCTTATATTCTTAACACAGTCACGTACTCGTAGTCACTGCACTACAAGAAAACAGACGGATACCGACGGCCAAAACCGTCGGAAATCCGTCAGAATAGACGTATTCCGACGAAACCGTGACGAAGACGTTCGTCGGTATCATTTTGTCAGAAAAAAAAATTTCGTCGGAAATCCGTGACAATTTCCGACGAATTCCGATGAATTCCGAGAGACTGTAATTCTGACGAACTACCGACGACACTTCGACGGACACCATCATCAGAAATCCATCGGTATATGTCGAGAGAAATCCATCGGTTTATTCCGACGAACTATGTCGTCGGTATATTCCGACGAAATACGTCGTCGGTATATTCCGACGGATATGGTCGTCGGAATATACCGACGACATAGGTCGTCGGAATAAACCGATGAGCGCTGTCGTCGGAATATTCCGACGGATACGGTCGTCGGAATATTCCGACGAAAGTGCTCATCGGTTTATTCCGACGACCTTTGTCGTCGGTAAGTTTGATTTAATTTTTAAAAAAAAAATTTATATTAATTTTTCATTTTAAAATTTTTGTTTTAAATTCGTAAATAAATGTAATTTAAAATTAAAAACTTATAATATTATAGAATTTAAGTTTACACAACTGATAATAAAAAAAACATTCAGAAAGTTTTAAACACACAAAAAAACAACTAAGAACCCGAAGGAAACAAACGATCTACCCTCGCCAATATGTCGAGGTTCGTTTGCTTTTGATCCGCCAGCTGAGATAGGATTGTGGCGTTCTGCTCCTCCAAGGCACCAATCCGCTGATCTTTTTCCTTTAATTCCTCTAGAATCATGGGATCGGCATACGAGAATTGTGAAGAAGAAGAAGCCGAACATTCATTAACCCGACGGGCCAACCCGACAAAACGGCCTNGATCCGCCAGCTGAGATAGGATTGTGGCGTTCTGCTCCTCCAAGGCACCAATCCGCTGATCTTTTTCCTTTAATTCCTCTAGAATCATGGGATCGGCATACGAGAATTGTGAAGAAGAAGAAGCCGAACATTCATTAACCCGACGGGCCAACCCGACAAAACGGCCTTTCTTTTTAGGAACCGCCTAAAAAAATTAAAATTCCTCTAGAATCATGCAAACAAAACTACCAATAATAACTAATACACTTATGGTTTCACTTGTAAGTGAAAACAATACAATGGGATGAAGACTATCTCAAAGAACAAAACAGCATGTTCAAAGCAAAAGAAAAAAAAAACACATTCTATCTCTAAGAGACATCAAACCGACGCAGCAACACAACCAAAACATTCATATGATTCCACAGGAAAAGTAAGCATATCAACACACTCAACATTGCCCCACACCTCAAGTCCATTGCGTCTTGATTCTAAAGAAATCTTGGCATACCAAATTTTGTTTCTTCTTTTGATACGAGAAATGGGATACGGATCCCACATAGCTAAAAGCTGACCACCACAGCCCACCAGTCCAATCTCACCAGTATTTAAACCTCTTATATGATCTCTGAGTTCTTCCAAACCCTTGATCACTCTCCACTCTCTTCGCTCAATATCAGAAGCAGACCATATAAAGTGACGAGAGTTAGTGCAACAGTATATTACATTCCCCATCTCACACGAAACTTGTATGTGATCTGATATGACATTCGACCTCTTTCTTACAACTTTCCATGTACCATTTTTCGGCTCGTAATTGTACGCCTTATCATCAGTCTCTAAGTAGAGTTTTTCTTGGAAAACGTTAACTTTGTAAAACACACGATTTTTGCGTAAGTCGTTGCATAACTCATCAACGCCAGGACCAGGAAAGGCTGCCCAAGACTGAGTTTGTACGTCAAATACCTCAATCCAGTTGGCATAGTACTCGTCAATATCGCAACCTCCCATCACATATATTTTCTCATCGAGTAAAACTGTATGCGGACTCTCTCTAGCGACGTTCATGTTAGGGCCATCACGCCAAGTGTGACTCTGACAATCCATGATCCGAACCGAGGAGGATGGTTTCTTGTAGTATCCACCGATTACGTAGATGTCCGAACCAACTATTTCGATGTGACTTCGATGGGGATAAGAATATGTAGAAGAGGAAGGTATAGGAACAACCAACATCCCACTTGAGTCCCGCTTACACATGAGACTAAACCATCTTACACATGAGTGATCGGGCAACTTTAACCAGACATAGACGCATGTTTCTTGGGCTCCTATTTGAGATCGAGTCTTGTAGATTTCTTTAGATGATAAGAGAGAGTGGAATCTCTTTGAGACGAGAGAGAGCGATGCGTACTTCCATCTCGAGACACGGGCAAGAATGTTCTCTGTAAGCTCGTCTGGAAGTGATGAAAACGACGACGGTGGCTCAGGAACTGTCTTCTTCTTTTTGGTTGGTTCAACTTCGTAGGAGATCATGGTCAGCCGAAGTTGCAGTATAGAGGCTGTGGAGAGGGAATATGGTAAATATATATTTAGGGTTAATAAACACGTTTAGGTCTGTAGATAAGATAACGCATATTTAAAGGCCTTTTGGGAAGTTGACTAATAGGATTGGATTAGGGCATCTCCATTAGCAAACCTCCAATGGGAAGTTTTTTTTTTGTATTTTTTTTTACTTTTTCAAAGAAAAAAATTCAACGAATCATGGTCCACGTGGCGAACCCGTGACGATATGGTATCACTGCAGCAAGTACACGCGATGCGGGTTCACCACTGTTTGCCTCGTAAACATGTGATCCCCCTCTTAAACCCCTTATAATCTCCTAATAGAGATGGCCTTATGTCCTATCTTTGTATGGTCATTGTATTATTGTTGCTTGTACCAAACTTTTCGACAACTATCGACCATCTCATCGCTATTGGAAAATTCACAGATGACAAAAAAATACCAAGACCTTTTGGTATTCTTACTGGATTGATAGTTTTGGGAGAATTCTTTTTTTCTTTCCTTCATGAGTTGTATCCAAACGGAATATATCTATATCATTAATTACAAATATATCTATATCAATAATTATTAATAATTATTTAAAGGATAATTTATAAAATTACAGTATATTTCTATTTCTATAATATTATTGGAAAAAATTAGTTTCTTACACGTCATAATTACTTTAATTCTTACGAAGATTAGTTTCATAGATAGCCTTAATAATTATTTATAATATAATTTATAAATTTTCACTATATCTCTATTTCTATAATGGTATCTTGTGGTATATCAGTGTTTTTAGTTTCGTTTAATTTCATTTTTTACAGATAATATATATAATAAAAAAGAATATTTATAAATTTTTAAAAAGGAATATATATATATATATATATATATATATATATATATATTTACATATTTAATATGATTTCAATAAAAAAAGTTCACAAAATAGTAATGCTTGCTTTAAGAAATATTTTTATAACATAAAATAAATTTTCAAAGTAATAAAAATGTGTTCTTTATAGCTATATGTTTCTTAGATGAAAAATATATATTTGAATCTAATGTGATTTCATAAATAAAATGAAAATTTCACAAATATAATATTGATATATTCAAAGTAACAGAAATATTTTCTTTACAATCTAACTCTTGTTAGGTGAATACATAAGATCAATTTAATAACATATACCAATATATGTTTAATTGACACTTTATAACTAGTACAATTAAAAAAATGTTTTATATTTTTTTCATAATCGTTTGTTGACTAAAAATATATTACAATTACATCAAAAAATAAAATGAAATATTTATAATTATATATTAACTATATACTAAGCCTCCTCAAAAAACAACCAATTTGTTTTATTACAGTAAGTATATTTTGATCAATGATTACAAAATATATTTAAACAACATCAACCTATATATACTTTTAATAAAGTAGAAATATTATATTTTATTATTATTAATTTTTTTCTTGCTTTTTATTTGTATGTTTTTTTATGTTTGTGGAATTTAATATAAAAATAATTAAATACTCAAGCAAATTTGAATTCTCATTTTAAGATTATTTAATGTATTTTCAGTTTAACTTTCATAAATCTACAGCCAAAATTTACTTAGAATTTATTTTTAAATTAAAATTTTAGATGCAATCAAATATACATAAATGGTAATTAAATCGACAGTTAGCAAATGATAACTAAATATATACATATAAAAATTAAATTTTAATCAATTATTATAATATATCTACTTTTATAAATATGTATATCTGTACATAAATACGAAAGAATTTACCTAGTAGAGAGATATTATAAGATAACATTAAAGTATTTTTTCACAATAGTTTCTGAAGACCAAAATATGTTTTATAAAATAAATAATATATATTTTAGTTGTATGAAATTATCGATTTTCCTTCCTAGAGTATTCCAAAAACTTAACGTTTCCTACATCGTGTAGTTTTATGTTCGTTATTTTATTTGTGAAGGTCCCCTCCATGTTTCATCTATTACCCAATCGATATTGGAGGGCCGAGCTCATTACCATATGCACATAATGACATGTATTCTTTTTTTCGTAACTCGACTTTGTTTCTCTTGACGTAACAAAACTAATAGCTAGTGCATATATGATTTACCTTATGATAAACTAAAGTACAATTTATTAGTTTTTGGTAATCCAAACAAAACTACCAATAATAATTCTAATTTGGGGTCTACTATTAGATTAATTTTGTTTGGACTTTATTTTTTGAGGATATTTTGATGTTCCACCGGTTTTGTTTTCCAGAGATATAATGTTCTTCCGCCGACTATGTTTTTTCTCTTTTCAGCCTTGTAAAACTCAGGATACAATGATAATATATTTTCAGATGAAAAGAAAAATCCCACTTCACTTGCAAGTGAAAACAAGAGAATAATTATTAGAGATAATCAGTCCGGAGAATAATCATAAGTACTGAAGATTATTCCAAAGGTGAACCGAAAGGATAATAGGCAAAGTGGAGTTGACAAGGTCCCGGTCCAGCCATGACCCGGTGGAGTGACCCAGAGAACCTGAGAACCCCAATCCCAAGAGGAGAACCCAGCAGCTAAAGGACGGAGCAACGTTGACTCCAGTCCCTTCTCACGAGCAGTAGACTCAAACAAGATTCTGGCTTCAGAACAAGGAGGAGTCAGGGCACAACAACAGTGAAACAGAGAAGAACAGAGGAATTCTTGTCAAGACTCTTTTAAAATTACAAACCAATATAATGTGAAATTTTTTTGGTTTTATATAAATTATTAAAATGATTATAGTGATATTTCTTTTAAATTTTAATATATATATATATATGTAGGTGTCCCATCACCGAAACAATGACTCCTTGGAAAGTAAATATCAGTACCTAGCCTAGAGAATTTATTGTGTGCGTCAAGCTGAATTGCCTGGATTTAATGGTACAAGACCGTATATCAATGGTCTCAAGCTCATCCCAACCACAAAGTAGCTTCTCATGAAATCATCAATCTCAGGCACTAGGTGGCCATTCTTCATAGCTGGGCTTATTCGTGAGAGTAATGAGCCTCTCATGAGTCGGTGGCTCGAGCTGTTAACCACTACTATGTTAATAACATAGATGAGTGCCAGGAATATGCTATGTTTTTGCATCCGGATTCAATCAGAATAGTAATTGGTAAAAAATAAAAACTAGAATAGTGTGTTTAAATTCATAATAGAGAAAAAATAAGCTACAAAGTATAAAATTATTTCTTTATTGTTGTTTATTAAGATAGATTAATCGGATTCATAATAGCATCATTTCAATATATGGTTCATTATTCTCATCATTCCTCATTTTAACATAATACAAAATCACTTTCCTGACCAGCTCGTCACATTTTAGAGATGCTATATGCTCTAGCAGCGCCGCCAACTAGCCCAACACAAATGTTGTAACGATCCTTGCAGGTATCACAGCCAATGCAGTTGGTAGCTTGGTCAGAAGCTCCTCGATGAAGGAATTCTATCAATTCCTTCATCGAGGAGCTTCTGACCAAGCTATCAACTACATTGACTGTGATACTTGCAAGGATTGTTACAACAGCTATGCTTGGCTTGTTGATGGCGTTGTGAGAGCATAGAGCATCCCTCAAACGCGACGAGCTGGTCATGAGAGTGGTTCTGTATTATGTTAAAAAGATGAAAGAGGAGAAAAATGAACCATATATTGAATTGATGCTATTATGAATCAGATTAATCTATCTTAATAAATAATAAATAATAAATAATTTTATACTTTGTAGCTTCTTTATTCTCTATTACGAAGTTAAACACACTGTTCTAGTTTTTTTTTTTACCAGTTACCTGATGGAATCTAGATGCAAAAACATAGCATATTCCCAGCACTCATATAAATTTAGTTTTGGATTTAAACATAATTTATGGTATTATTAAATCAAATAAATTTAGTATATTTTTTGCTCAATTTCATATATTACAAATGCAAATGTTCAACGAAAATCTCCATATGAAAGCGTGGAAAAATAGTATTTAGAGAATATTTTTATTTGGTAAATGGTTTTCTAAATGTTTGTTTTAACAAATGTAGATAGGAAAATAAGGAACATGATGATTATGATAGTGCTCTGCCAACCAAAGCTTAAATATGATGAAAAAGCAACTGCAAAATCAGGAATTCTACTTTAATTAATTAGAAAATATCTATAAAATATCTTTAAAATAATTAATATTGTTAAATAACCATAACTACAAGAGTGACATTGTTGTGTATAATGAAAGATCAATCACAGAATCATATGAGGGATTCTTCTTTAATTATGTGAGATTTTGCCTTAATTAGTTAGAAAGTATCCTAAATTATCTTTAAAATAATTAATTTTGTTAAATAATCATAAATACTTGATTGCATTGTTTTGTAAATATATGAAAAAGCTATGGAATTTTCTTTAAAAAGTTAGAAAATATCCATAAATTAACTTTAAAATAATTAATGTTGTTAAATAAACACAAATAAAAGAGTGGCATTATCTTGTAAATATGATGAAAATGAAAGAGTGAAATCCTATGAAAGATTATGTCTTAATAGTAAAGAAGAAAATATTTATAAATTATCTTTAAAATAATTAATGTTGTTAAATAATCATAAATACACAGAGTGACATTGTCTTGTATGACAAAAAAAACAAGTGCGAAATGCTATGAGGGATTTTACCCTAATTAATTAGAAAATCCATAAATTATTTTTAAAATAGTTAATGTTGTCAAACAACCATAAATAAAGGAATGTCATCGTCTTGTAAATATGATGAAAAACCTATGGGACTCTGCTTTAATTAGTTAGAAAATATCAATAAATAATTAAAATTAAAATAATTATTATTGTTAAATAACCATGTCTTTTAAATACATTAGAACATCTATGAATTAATAATGTGAGGACTTTAAAATTTTATTAATATATAGAGATATCAATTTATAAAAAAAAAATCTTATTTAGATTTCTTATTTTAATATGTATTTATTCTAGCGAATATTTAATTTTAGTGTATAAATATTAATTATTATTATTTTAGTGTATAGATATTAATTATTATTATTCTTTAGATATAATATTACTAAATCTCATCAAAAATATATCAAGTGTTAAGAAAAATATAAAGATAAGTAAATTATAAATATAAAACAAAAAATATAATGATAAGTTCTTACTTATATAAAATATGTATATATAAATTATTAATTTATAATTTTAATGGGAAAACATAAGTACATATATTTTCTAGAAAAAACATAATCTTATTATTTTATCGATTTGTGTCAAATTTTGAATCGGTCCATCTGATTGATGAAATTTATTACTTTATAGAGATTATTAGTTTATGGCAAAATTATTTTTTTGACCAAAAAAACAAGGACAATGTCTCTTAGGCTAATCTCATTTACTTATTGTTCCATTAGACTAACTATTTTCTAGAGAAAATAATGCTCTTAATTTTTTAATTAAAAATTCATACTTCAATTTATTAAATAATTAAAATTTATTTAGATATTTAATGTTAAAATAAAATATATTATTATAATTCAAATAAGCAATATAATAAAACAAAGAACATTCTAGAAGCTGTATTCGATTTTTCAATTAAATTTGTAATTACATTTATTAAATAATTAAAATAAATTTAGCAATAACGATTTTTGATTTTTTTCTGCAAAAAATCAAATTTTCAAATATGGAACCAAGATATTTTCAAATATTTTCTCCCTGTAGTTTTGAATCTGTTAATAGTCATCCGTAGAAGTTGTATTCCACTATCTTTAGAATATTGTTAACAAGTTTTAAATCGAATTATACAGATACGTAGAATACAATTAACAAATTTGAATTCAACTTCTACATCTTTTAGATTTTAAGTAATGTATAGGTTGTCTTCAAAAAATAGAATAGACAACCTATATATAGAATAAACAACCTATACATTACTTAAAATCTAGAACATGTGGACATTGAGTTCAAACTTGTTAATTGTATCATATGTATCCGTAGAATTTGATTTTAAACTTGTTAACAGTATTTTATAAATAGTGGAATATAACTTTTACGGATAACAATTAATAGATTCGAAACTATGAGAATGAAATATTTGAAAGTATCTTGTTTCCATATTTGAAAAATCGATTTTTTGCAGAAAAAAATCCAAAAATCGTTATTGCTAAATACATTTTAATTATTTAATAAATTTAATTACAAATTTAATTTAAAAATGGAATACAGATTCTACTGACTTTTTTGTTTGTTTTATGTTACTGCTTATTTGAATTATAATAATATATTTTATTTTAATATGAAATAGATCTAAATACATTTTAATTATTTAATAAATGTATTACGAATTTGTAATTAAAATTTTATAGACATTATTTCTCTTTAAAAAATATTTAGCCTAATGAGATAGTTAGTAAATAAGATTAGTATAAAGAAACAACATCCTTGTTTTTTTTTGTCTAAAATTTTTTTGATTTAACATTGATTAAATCATTATCACTATAATTAAAGCAACGAATAAGAATAAGAAATACAAAATAATAAACTAATTCCAAACTCAGAAACTCGTTAAAAATTACCTAATCTTCTTCATTGTTTCTTAAGACAAAAAAATCGACTCCAATTCAAATCGATATAAATGGAAATCAAAGCAAAAAAAATAAGAAAATGAACATAATTTAGAGAAAAAAATAGATTGGAACAGATTACGGTGTTAAATTCGAATTGAAACTAACTTGAGAAGTTTTGGAAGGTGAGCGTGTTTTTCACATTTTTACCACATGTTTAATTAAAGCTAATGTCATCAACGTAGTCATAAATCGATGTGTGAAAATTAGTTCGTGTATTTTTAAGGAATTTAGTTCGTGTATTATAAATTTCAAAAGTAGGTGTATTTAATTGAAAACATAAATTCGTCTGTGTATTTAACGGGGATCTAAAATATTTGTATATTTTATTAACAAATGAAAATTAGTTCGTGTATTTTTAAGGAATTTTATTTTCATAATTTAAACACGTGACATGTGTTTAGTTAAACACTAGGCATCTACAAATCTATTAAATATAGTTAACGCCATTAAAACGATGTGTAAAATCTTCAAATTTCAAAAGTTTGTGTATTTAATAGGTAACATAAACTAGTTCGTGTATTAAACAGTGATCCAAAATAGTTAGTGTATTTTATTAGAAAATGTAATTCAGTTCGTGTATTTTTAAGAAATTTTCCCTTATCCTAATGGCATAAAAGAACAATTTTCCTAATTAATTAACAAGTGGAAGGAGGAAACAAGGAGGGATACATATACTGATCGACTCACTTAAAACTCTCATCTAGAACTACAGTAGAGAGCAAAACAAGTCAGCCCATTTGCTTAAAAACATCTCTATACATTGACGAGTGTGAGGAGAGATAGAAAAGGGTGGAGTACTAATTAAACAGAGGGTATGTTAGAGAAGGAGAAGCCTTGGTACCCTTTGTAAGCATAATAAGCGATCCGTGTGTAGTAAAACCCTGGGATGAACAGAAGACACCCGAGTACGATGAAAAATATCCCTGCTTTCACCATATCAAAACAGATAATCAATCATCATATTACCTGATGAGCTCATCTCCCAAATCTCACAATATAGGAAACTGGGAACGATAGTTTTTTTTATGCAATAATGACAAACAATGAAAATCATTTCACGCTTAGTATGGTGAGCAGATAGTTTGCCCATATTAACCAGTAATGACCTTGCAGAGATACTAAGTAAACCTCATCATAAGCACTTCAATTAAGAAAGTCCTTCAGAATGAAAGGCTCTCCCTTCCATCATGCAAATAACTTAACTGTGACAACCCATCCTGCAGATCCAGGCTTAGAGCATTTACAGGACACCGGCCCTAACCCCTGTAATCCCTGAGTTCTCCCCAGGTCAGGTTATTGGTGTGTTTGGTGTTCCTCGATTATTTAGAGTGGGTTCTCTGCAGGGCTAGTCTAGAATCCACGGGAAGGGTTGTTACAAGAACCTTATACAAGTTCTTCTGAAACAATTACATATTCTCAGGTAGAAATCAAAATCGCATGCCTATGGGAACATCTGTATTCATCCAGGAGCACTTGTAATCTATCTATAATCTCCATTCACTTGCCTAAAACAATCTTCCTAAACCAAATCTTAGCTGATAAGCCTATACATGATCACATGAACAAAATCCTCTGTATTCATCCAAATCCACACTTAGATATCCAGAATCAGTTGAACAAAATCCTCTGTATTCATCAAAATCAACACTTAAGACCTCCAGAAAACAAAGAGATAACACAATACCAAACTAAAACCAAATCACACACAAACCATAGCTAACAAGGAGCACTTACAATCTAATCTAATCATCTTCATCACCTAGATTCTTCTGATATCAGATTCCTCAAATCCAAATACTTCCTTAAAACAATCTTAGCTGATGAGCCTATACATAAACACAGGAACAAAATCCTCTGTATTCATCCAAATCCACACTTAAGACCTCCAGACAACAAAGAGATAACACAATACCAAACTAAAACCAAATCACACACAAACCATAGCTAACAAGGAGCACTTACAATCTAATCTAATCATCTTCATCACCTAGATTCTTCTGATATCAGATTCCTCAAATCCAAATACTTCCTTAAAACAATCTTAGCTGATGAGCCTATACATAATCACAGGAACAAAATCCTCTGTATTCATCCAAATCAACACTCCAGAAAACAAAGAGATAAACACAATGCCAAACTAAAACCAAATCACACACACAAACCGTAACTAACCAAGAGCACTTACAATCTATCTATCTATCTATCAATCATCTTCATCGCATAGACTGATGATATAGATTCCCCGAATCTAATTACTTCCTAAACCTAACTGATCCTGAAACCGATTCTCACTACGATTCTGCTAAGAACTAATGAAACCTATACAGAAGGAAGTAACGGAATCGCTAACCGTGGCCACGATCGCCGCCGACTCGATTATACGCCATGAAGAAGCCGGAGACGATACCTAGGGCTCCGAACACGAGGAGAGACAACGCGAGTGCGATCTCCTTAACCGGAGGTCGGTTATTGACGGTGTATGAGGTCTCGATCATCATGTCCTCGTCTGATATCGAGAACGCATGGTCCACGTACGCCATTCTCGCAGTGGATCGAGATCAGTGGTGAGACGATCTAGAATGAGACTGTGAATCAGATCGGAAGATTGTAAAGCTTCGACGAGGTTTGCTTCAGAAGTTGATGAGTTCTCTCTCTTCTCTTGTGACGGAGACGGTTAGAGAAAGTTCGGTGCAATTTCAACCAACGTGAAATACGTGGCGGATTTGTTATCTAAGTGTAAACTACACGTCGTTTGATGTACAATATAAATTCTGTAAAAAGAGAAGTAGACAAAGGAGAAAAGAACAGAAAAAAGCCTGAAACAACTCTCTAAACTAATATTTGAGTAAAAAAATTCCTCAATTTTAAAATAATAACCATTTTTAAATCTCATTTTGTTGAGTGGACTAAATTAGAAGCCCGAAAAGATCAACAAGTAAATTCATATTAAATAGCTAAATAACATCATCTTAAAAGTTGATTCAAAATTAACGAAATAGCGGTCTTTTCGCATCTCTACCCTTTCTATCATTTATTTTTATCCTCTTTTGCCACAAACAAAAACCAGAGTCCCTAAACAAAAAAGTATAATTCTCTAATCTCCTAATTATCTAATCATTATATGTCTTAGTTGTTTTTTTTAAATATAAATTTCATGATTTTTTTTCTTAAAAAAAATTGTTATTATTTTTTTTGATGATTTTAAAAATTCTTAATGTCTAATTTTATTTTAGTTTTAGAAAATTAAGAAATTTATTTGAATTTTTAAAAAACATAATATGTTTTGGAATTGTTGAGATTTTTTCTATTGTATTTCATTATTTTTATTTTTATTTATTTTTCTTATTATTTACTTATTTTTTCCTTTATTAATTTCTTTATATGAATTAAAAATTGCAACCTCAGCCCATTTTACTGGCTAATGAACAAGTGTTAATCACGTTTTGTTTTAATGAACAAAAAAAAAGCAGGTTAAATGTTTTTATGATATAATTGTTACATTGATGGTTTAAGATAGCTACTTTCATGTTTTTATGCGATTTTTCCTATATGTTTGCATCATTTTCAGCTTTTTTCAGATACAGGATAACGAGGATTAGCGACTGTGCCATCAATTTAGGAAAGAGTGCTAGGCTTTCGTGACAGTTGGCCAGTCTACCACCATTCCTCATGTTTGGATTTCTTTTTCTTCTCTATTGTTCTAACAAATTATATATAGTAACACATGTATATATCAGTGTAAACCTATTTATACATTTATTCTATTTAAAATAACTTTTTAATTACGTCTAATGCCATTTAAGTTGTACTTTTTACTATAACTAACTTTAACATATAAACTTACAAAAGACATAATAAATAGCAGATTTCCACGAAATACAATATCAGTTTTTATAAAAAATATATTTTTAGAAAATATAAATGTTTAATTTTTTTGACAGCTTATATTTCTTTACTATTTAGTAAAATTAACAAAATTTAATTAAATAATAAAATGTTAACCTTATATAAGGGATATATTCATTACAATATTTCTTTACTATCAATTACTCTTATGTTAATCTAGGTTCTGTTTTTTGTATAAAATTTTAGATCAGTTATTAAAAATTAAAAATTTATGCTATATTAGATTAAATTTTTTAAATGTAAACAACATAACAAAGATTAATTGAGAATAGCAGGACTGTATCATGAACATTGAATTTGAATCATTATAATCCACATACAACTCTTATAAGAGTGGTATTGTGACAAACCGAAACATTATAACAAAATATTTTTTATATAAAATATTAAACTTTTATCATTTAATGAAATTTTGTTAACTTTACTAAATAATAAAACAATATAATGTGTCAAAAATTAAAAAAAAGTTATATTTCTAAAAATATTTTTATAAAATAGCTATTTTATTTTATTAAAATATATAATAGACGTTTATTTTCTAAAAAATATTTTTATACCTCGGATAGAAACATTATAATGAATATATTCCTTATATAAGATTAAAATGTTATTATTTAGTTAAGTTTTGTTAATTTTACTAAATAGTAAAAAAATTTAAGCTGTCAAATTTTTTATAAATGTTAACATTTTCTATAAAAAAAATATTTTTATAAGACATCTATTTTTAATATTATACATGTGGCATCTTTGTCAACAAAACTAGATTACGTAGCATCCATGATGTGATAGTAATGTAACGACTAATGTATGATTTTGCCAAAACAGTAAAAAATATGTATGTTTTCGATTTTTTTAAGGGCAAATATATTTTTGTACAGTCATATAGGTTAGATACGAATTGAACATATTGCCATATACTGGAAATAAAATGGTTGTTTTTCCACAGTTACATCGGGTCCTGCAAAATTTACTGTAAAAATAGGGTGGAAAATGCAGTCATAGACAAACAAAAAACACATTATTCTATATAGGAAGTAATTTTTTTTTGTTCATGACTGCATTTTCTACTTCCATTTTGCAGTAAATTTTGCTGTGGGGTTTGAGATACTCTTGGACCTTTAATAAATCAATTCTTTTTGAACATTTTTACAGAAATTTTAGTTAGTATAATTGGTTGATGCCATTCATTTCTACATTCTTTAAAGGGAAGTAAAGTTCGAATCTTTTACCACTTCTTCTTTACTTTTTTTTTTCAAGAAAAACGTACTGAGTCACCGTCTATTATAGTATGATATATTATTGCATCGCACTGCGAGCAACACACATGAACGCATTAAATTACAAACATTCAGAGAAGTATTCACATACCGAATTGCTCGATGGTACTTTAGTATCACTAGAACATTTCCTCGGTAAATTGTAGATTCTTTACTCTATTTTTCAAATACATATAACACACAGGTCGTTATTCAACTGTTTGATTTTAGGCCTTTATATAATAAGAACAAGAAGATGGCTAGTTCCACTTTCTGGAGCAAAACTACGCGTCAAGCTTTTCTCCTCTCAAGATGGCTAGTTCCACTTTATACATTTGTATTTTAAAGATAGTTTTTTTTTTTTTTTGTATTTTAAAGATAGTTACTTTGGGTAAAAAGATGTGAACTTTATGTGTGTTTCTAAGGCTATGTGGTTTCTGAAGATTCTGCGTTTGATATATCAGTCTCGTTGTTTAAAAACTTGTGCTGGTAACAAATAAAGTAGAGATTTTGATGTTGGGTTTGGTGCACAACTTCAGTTTCTTGAACTCTGTTTCTTGTGTTACTTCCCATTTGCTATGGTTTAATACTTCAGAAGCCTTATTCTTTGTATTGATTGTGATATTTATGTGAATGCTCAGTTCTTTTGGTCGCCTTACAGGATCTTTTTATGATCTGCCTTTTTGTGATATTTAAGCTTATTTTGTGTTATTTAAGCTTATGTGCTCACCGAAACCAGATGCTACTTGGTTCTGAGTTTCTTGTTGGAATGATCCGTAGAAATCTGCGTCTGCGTTTGAGATATCAATTCCATCTTTTAAACTTCAACACAAAAAACGTATAGATTTTTGAATTTGGGTTTGTTGGATTGGTGCATAGCTTCAGGTTTTTGAGTAAGCATTCTCGAGCCCTGCGAAGTTTCAGCTTGCTTGAACTCTATTTCTTGTCTCAAATCTCATTTGCTATGGTTTCAAACGTCAGACACATGATCCTTTGAATTATTGTAATATGTTATTGTGATTCCTTAGTTTTGTTGGTAGTCTTACAGCTCATTTCATTTGGTAATGAGCTGTCTTGAAACAGATGGTGTTTTGTTTCTCTTACAAGGCATAAATCTAGGTACTTGCAATGTATCAGGAAGGAGAGACTGTTATATTTATATAATATTGATTACATGATTGACAATAAGAAGCTTAAAATGTGAATGCCGTATATATACATCCATACTCTTTATACATTTAGTGTGACTTAAGTAAATGGTTGATAAAGAATGAATGTCCTGAATTATCATTTTACCTGCTGAAATAGGTTCTTGGAGAAAAGATACTTCGAGGTGAGACACCAGGGAACCTACTCGAAGCCAAGAGATCAATAGGACGATACTCAGGCATTATAAGCCCTTCCCTCTCTTCCCTACTCCAAGCCCTTGATCTTCCATTAAACGTCCCATACTTAACCAGTTTAAGAAACCCCCACGACTTCTTCTTAGGCGAGGTGTTCACCACCATACCATTCATCTTCTGGCTCAGATACACTCTCACCGCCTGCAAGCTCTGCTCCACAACCTCTATAGGTGGCGACACGATCGGGTTTCCTTCAGCGCTCAGCTTCTTTAGCCGCCTCATGCAGCCAATGGAGTCAGGCAAGACTGTGATGTTGTTGTAGCTGATGTCTAGCTCGAGGAGGTTCATGAGGAGGCCTATGGAAGATGGGAGTGTGGTGAGGTACTGGAAGTTTTGGCTGACGTTGAGTATCTCTAGGTTGATGAGATTCTCGAGGTCGTCAGGGAGGATCATGAGGCAGTTGAGACGAGCGTCGAGGACGCGGAGGGAGGTTAGGTAGGTGATGGTGGTTGGTAGGGTTGTGAGCTTGTTTGAGTTGATACAGAGCTTCTTTAGGTTGGTTAGTTCTAAGCCTATGGAGTCTGGTAATCTTATTAGCTCGTTGAAGTTTGCGTTTAGTTCTTCAAGTGACCTGGAATGATCCAAAACAAGGGAAAACATGATTTAGTTATACTCCTTCCGTTCCACAATATAAGATGTTTTGGAGAAGCTTGGATGTTTCAAAATATAACATGTTTTGATATTTTTAAAGTATTTTAACTTTATTGAAAACTTGTTAACTAATTACATTTACTATATTATTTATGATTAGTTAATTTATGTTTAATTTATATTATTTAATAATACTATATTCTAAAAAAGTAAGTTTCTTAATCTTTGTGTATTCAAGCAAAACATGTTATATTAAAAACGGAGGGAGTATATTTGAGAGTTTGATGTGAATCTTTTTTGAGGGGTGTACCTGCAATTTTGAATAGTATTGGGGAGGTAAACGAGAAAGTTGCCGGAGACATTAAGGATCTTGAGTTTAGAGAGACAACCAATGGAGTTTGGAAGAGTTTTGATCTGGTTTGAGTGAATATCTAATGATATCAAGTTTAGTAGTCTTGCCGTTAGAGATTCTGGTATTTTCTGTTATTATTCACAGACAAAAAAGCATTAGAAACTAAACTAATATGATTGTTAGTGTGTTATGTGTGTATGTATGGGATAGTATTAACCTTGATATGGTTATTGGAGAGATCAAGCTTGCAAATAATACCCAAATTGAGGGAAGGATTTGGGAGAGATTGTAGTGACATGCCACTCAAATTCACATCTTCTAGTCTCTCTTCCTCATTGGAGTCAATGTTGTTTGATGGTGACTTTGGTGATGATGAGAGTGGTGATTGGCTCAAGTCCATCATCATCATTGTCATCATGTGATCGTTTTGCTCATGGAGTGGTTGATACTGATATGCCTCTTCGCATATCATCTTTAATAGATGTGTAATGTATTTATGTGTTTATAACTTTGTATGAATTTTCTGTAGAGGAAGAAGATTTTTTTTTTTTTTTTTTTGAAAAGAGGAAGAAGATAATAATGGTAATATGATTTGGAATGAGAGTGGCTCTTCTGCTTTATAATTGCAAAAACAAATGATTGTATGGACGTGAAACTTTGGTGAAGTTTTGAGGAAATGAACAGTTTTCGGAAGTTTAATTACTTGAGATCAATGAAATAAAAGGTGATCAAGGATGGTGATTAGCCAATGAAGGAGAGAGATGTGCGTTACCAAGTATTTTTGTCTTCTACATCATTCATAAGTAACACAAATCATTTTTTATTTAATCACCGCACTGTTCGAATCAGTAATATTTATTTCTTTTTATATCCAGCTTTATTTCCATTATGATGAGTTCGGTTACTTCAGTAACTTTTTACCTTATAGTCTTATACTGTAACTGAAAAAAATTGACTAAGCAAATACTTACAAGATTTTGATCTTCGAGCCTTTCTACATTTAAAAACCAATGACAATATAAAATAAGTAATGATATTAGACATTAAAATTTTGATAAACTGATATTTTCTCTCTTCGCGAAATAATTTTTTTAGAGTACTCAAGCATACTAAAATTATAATAATTTTTTACAATTAAAATTATTTTTCTTTTTTTACTATAAATTTTTAATTACAATCAATCAGTGATACTTCAAATTCAAATATTTCTAATTACTATTTTTTAAAGTATACAAAAGTATTTAAAATATAAGAAAATCTATTTTTTGTAAAATAACAAAAAATCTTTAAAAAAAAATAATTTTGGGGGAATTTATGCTCAGTTCAGTAAACCAATAAAAATTTTGATTCAAAGTTTTAAACATATCAACTCGCGGTAGAGCCAATCTGACCGGACCGGACCGGACCGGTCGAGTTTATTTAAAAATGAGTTTCGTTGAGTGTCCGAAAATCTAACGACCATCGGAAGATAAAAAAAAAGCAGACGATGATGACGATGATGATGATGGCCACGATAACACCACCGTCTCCGGAACTTCCCTCATCAAAGCTGACATCCACAACCACTGGATACCTCAAAACCAGCGTCTCCTCAGTCTCTCAATCTGCTCGGAGAAGACGTCTCAACTCGACTCTGTTCTGTACACGACCTCCAAGCTCTCCGAGCAGCAGAGTCTTCTCTGCGTGCAGTATCAGTAACCTCGTGGAAGAGTTTGATCCGGAGATTTTGGTAGAGAGAGCGTTGACTCCTCCGAGCTCTTGGTATACTGATCATCAGTTCTATCGTTATGAGCTTGATCATGTCTTCTATGGAGGATGGCAAGCCGTAGGTTCGGAATCAATTATTTAATAGATTTATAGACTAATTTAGATATAGTAGACTGATCTCCCAATTTGACCGTTGTACTAACAATTTTTAGTTTTTTGACAAATTGAGACTAATTTAGATCGATTTTAATTTTAAACCAATTTAAAACGCTTTAAACTGGTATAGAATAGTTTAAAACAATTTGGATCGTATAAATTGGATTTTATGAAAATTGTTTTGGATATGACCGATTTGGCGCCTTAGCTGGCACGCGCAGCCTAGACCGATTTTTAGAATCATGGTATTAAGTGTTAACAGTTTATTAAAGGTTCTTGCTTGCTATGAACAGGATACACTGATCAGATTAAGGATAATCGCGATTTTTTCATCGGGAGGTAACTAAACCACCATAGACTCTCATTAGTTAGTTGCTTTGTCTAACATTTGAATCGTTAAAATAAAGATAGAAAGGTTATTTACTTTGTTATTGCTTCTTTGTTGGGTATGTACTGCAGGCTTGGGGAGGTAGAGTATGTGGTGTGTAGAGATGATGATGGGAAGATTCATGGTTTCCATAATGTATGCTCTCACCATGCTTCTATCTTGGCTTCTGGATGTGGCAAAAAATCTTGCTTTGTTTGCCCTTATCACGTAAGCTTCTTCAGTCACAACATATGCTTAAAAGTTACTTAACTGATTAGTAACTCAATTCTATGTGGCAGGGATGGACATATAACTTGAACGGATCGCTTGTCAAAGCTACTAGAATGACAGGGATAGAGAACTTTTCTTTGAATGTATGTTGTTTTTAATATGGTCCTTTTTTATTTGAATTTGACTGTTTGGTGATTTAGGAAATGGGACTCAAGCCTCTAAGAGTAGCTGTATGGGGACCTTTTGTTCTCCTCAAGGTGACCAGAGAAATTGAGAGTGATGGATCAGTGGCATCTGAATGGCTAGGTTCTTCAGCAGGGAAGTTGAGTGAAGGTGGAGTTGATTCCCATCTTAATTTTATATGTAGACGTGAGTACACTATTGAGTGTAATTGGAAGGTGATATCTTGTTCTCAATACACATTCTCTTTTTAATAAGAGCTCAGAAAAGATTGATGATTCGTTGGCAACTCAGGTATTCTGTGATAATTACTTAGATGGTGGGTATCATGTACCTTACGCACATAAAGGTTTGATGTCAGGCCTAGACCTCGAAACCTATTCTACAACGGTATATTCACACCAAACACTATCTCATGATTGTGATCTCTAGTTAGTTTGTAGTTCTTAAGATGAGCGTTGTGTTTTTAATCAGTTGTTTGAAAGGGTTAGTATACAAGAATGTGATGGTGGGTCCAAGTCTGGTGGAGAAGATGGTTTCGATAGGCTTGGTTCTCAAGCTCTATACGCTTTCATCTACCCAAATTTCATGATAAATAGGTAACAAATTGTCAAGTTTTGATTCAATATTGTAATGATTTGATTTAGACAGTATGGATAATGTTTTTAAAAGGTATGGACCATGGATGGACACGAATCTAGTGATACCTTTAGGACCAAGGAAATGCAAAGTTGTCTTTGACTATTTTCTTGATCCTTCTTTAAAGGTAAGAAGAAACAAACCAATAGCATAGCCTGGCCCTGTATAGGAAGGAATCTTTGTAAATTTTTTATTTATTTTGGATTTAGGATGATGAAGCTTTCATCAAGAGAAGTTTGGAAGAGAGCGAGAGAGTTCAGGTACACTAGAATAACATAATGTCTTTTTTGGTGATTTTTGAGTTTATGGAATGTGTAAGCTTGGTGAATCAGATGGAAGATGTTGGGTTGTGTGAGAGTGTTCAAAGGGGCCTGGAATCCCCTGCTTATGACAAAGGAAGATATGCTCTTGTGGAGAAAGCAATGCACCATTTCCACTGTCTGCTACATCAGAATCTCAAACTATGACACTCTAGTACACACACACACACATATATATATATATATATATATATATATATATATATATATATATGTTTTTATGTATATATGATGCAAATGAATGCAAATCTACACTTGTACTATATATGTTTATAAATAAATAAAAGGTTTATATGTAATGTGAATATTCCATTTTATACTCCATTTGCACCAAGAAACTGCGGGCATATTTATTTGTATAAATAGTATAATAATATATATACGGTTACTATAATATTAACTTTTCTCATATATTATAGGTTTATTCTTCATCTTCTTCATCCTTCACTACCGTGTCCTGCCCCACCGAAAACTACATCAACTAGATCTACAAAAGAAAATGGATTTCTCATTAAATGTTTGTAAGTTGATGTGTTATGTGGTTTTGCCAGTTACTTAATCAGTCTATTTGCTATTAGTTAAACTAGACTTACTTTGATTTGTTGTTTTTGTCTCTGTAATCGAAACACCGTGAAATTTGAGGACCGCATGAACCTTAAATGTGTGATCTCAACATCTATCTTGAAAAAAAAATCCGTATTTCTCTGTGTAATCATTTTCCCTACATTAGTTTACACTTTTAATAGATATCTTCGAATTGCACACTTCTGTCATATAAATGTTAAAATGACTATTCGGTTTCTAAGAAAAAAATACTTTTCAACTTTCTACGCGCAGTTAGGGGTATTTTTGGCAACTTTCACTATAATATATAACATATTATAGCATAAGCAATGTAACGGTTAGATTCTTATTTTTTAGTGTGTTATGGTTATTACCCCAAATTACTCTATAACATATGTGTTTCTACATAAAATTGATATCATGTGTTTTTATGATTTGTTTAGCAGCTATTTTTATATGTTTTAGATGACCAATATCTATACAAAATGTTAATGTCGTGAAAAATATTATTTTGTTATTGCACACTTCTGTCATATAAATGTTAAAATGACTATTCGGTTTCTAGAGAAAAAAAGAAAAAAAAAATACTATTTGAGATTAGGTTTCTGTCATATTAATTTTGAAAAATGAAATATTATATTGTCAAAGCATAATATTATTTGAGATTAGGTTTTAAGAACTATTTGTATCCATGAATTCACGGTTAACCACCTAATCCTCATGTATATTTGAGAAGTCATTCAAGTGATTTATACTTATGTGTTTGTCAAAGAAGAGTTTTCAAATAAATTGTCTTAATTTGATTGGTAATTTTGGAACCATTTAATATCATTTTTTAAACGATCCAAATAATATGAAACATAATGATTTATAAAAACTAACTTTGGAAAATCTAGAGAGTAACAAAAATAATTATAATCCAAAATCCATAAGATATAATAAATTATTTTCATATATAAAGAATTAAATGAAAATTTGTTATATTATAAATTCATATAAATTTATACTTAACATTTAGTTTCAAATAAACCTAAAATTTGATTTTGAATAATTAAAAATGTATTTTAGTTTCATCAAAATATAGTATAATAGATTTTTATAAAGTATTTGTACCCACAAAACTGTGGACAACCACCTAGTATGTATTTAAGTCAATTATGTCATCAATGCTCAGATTTGTTTCATTAATTTTTATGCGTTTAAGGAAATAAATATTTTAATAACGAGAAATTTTAAAAAAATTTCTTCATATTTTGCAGATAATAATAATAATATACAGTTGGTGGTAATAACTTTATTATTTATGTATTATATAAATAATAATATAATATATATATATATATATATATAAGTTCAAGTAAGAAATAAAATTAATTTTAGATTAAAAAATATTTATTTCTCAAAAAAATTAACAAACATATTTAAGAATTTTGACAAATCTATAAATTCATTTTTTTTACTGTAAAAGCTAGTAAATTATTTTTAAATTCTAAATCAATCAGTTAAGAAAAACAGATTTAAAAAATATCATTGTATGTTATGAATATAATTAAAAGTAAAATACAATTAGTAATTAGTAATTTTCATTAGTTGGTATTGTATTGATAATGATATACAGAAACATAAATATTTTTTTGTAATCTTAAAGTAAATATTAAATTAATTTTAGATATCAAAAAAACACATTGAAGTTACTTTTTCATCAGTTAACCTGTAAAAGTTATATTGATTTCAAAAAGGGCTAAATTATTGTATTAATATTTAAAAACAATCTATTTACGAATTTAAAAGAAAATATTTTGCATGTTATATATATATAACTAACAATAGTAGCTTATTGTTTTGATCATATATATATATATGTGTGTGTGTGTGTGTGTGTATCTGAATTATTTAGTTATTTATATACAAATTTTGAAGGTTTGGCGTAAAATAAAATTCACTCTACGTCATTTTAGCTTAAAAAATTATTTTAGGATTTTAGAAATTATTATCATGTACATACCATTTTTAAAAAATATAACTCGTGATATTGTGTATATATTACATTTATAAACATAATTTAATATTAATTAAATAACATTCAAGAGTCAAAATTACATGCGATAGTTACTCGGAAATGAATATATAGATTAATTATTTGACTGTAGTTATTGATGAAAATCTAATAAAATATTAAATGTCATTTCTATTCCAAAATTTATAAAATAATTATATTTAAAAATTATAAATTTATTTATTTAAAATATAAATATATATATATATATAAAATTCACATCCATTTAAAAAATAAATATATTACACCACGTCAAAAATCTAATAAATATTACTCTCTCCGTTTCACTTTAATTGTCATTTTAAGTTTTTACACACATATTAAGAAAATATTTAATTTTACATATTTTCAAGATAAAAACACCGTTAACTATATACCTAACCACTTTTTAACCAATAGGAAAATATAATATCATATAAAACTAATAAATTTTGTCTCAAAATTCTAAAATGACACTTATTTCGAAACATAATTTTTTCTCTAGAATGAAAATTAATTCGAAACGGAAGGATTATATTGTAGTAAATAATTTAAAATCTGCAACCACTTAATAATTTGTTTTAAGTAGTGAAGAGGAAGGAGAGGGAGAAAAAATATTAAAAAAAAAAATGGAATTTTCATCTGAGTGCGCTCCCGGCATTCTAGAGACTCTATCGGACGAAGCGATTCAGGAAATTACAGAAAGCTACGATGGGGTTTTCAGCGCCATGGAGTCTCTCATTGCCGGCGGAACGGTAGACTTGTCAGGCGAGAAGGAGTTGTTAATGTCTCATGTTTCAAGTCTCTGCAAGTACGGGCTTGATTCTCTTGTTCGTGACCACTTTCTTAGATCACTCGAGGTATTATTATAAACAAATTCTTTTAAGTCCTGCAGAAAGTTTCTCTTATATTTTTTTTTTGTTTCAGCAAGCTTTTGAGAAGAGCGGTGCATTGAGGTTTTGGGAACATACGGTAAGTAGATAGATACAACAAGAAGAAGGGTTTGGTATTCAAGTTTCGATTCATAAGTAAGTTTTTTGAGCTAGCATGTTTTTCTTTTTGGAACACAAGTACGACGGAGACCAAGTGTTATGCACGAGGGGTTTGGAAGAAATATCGCGGTATCGTAACAAGTGTCTGTCCATAGTGGTTCATGCTTTGCAGTCGGTTAAGGAAGAAAGACTGAACTCAGTTGCTCAACTTTCTTCGAGATTCCATTCAATGTTGATGACTACTCTTCCTCAGCATTTTCCTGGTATGAACTCTTCTTTGTTGTAGTCAGTGTCATATAAACGATCAATGAGAGGCAGTACAGTGTTTGTGTTCCTTCTATATTATCTTCTTTTATTTGATTTATTGTGTTCAGTAATTACTTTTTTATTTATGTAGAAACACTCCACTGGTACTTTAAAGAACAGTTAGGGGAATTAAGCGCAATCATAGACGAAAATGAATATAAAAATATTGATGGTATGGATTTGGATGTTTCAAGACATGACGAGTTGGTGAGGAACATTGGGAAGGTGGTCCGTGACCTTAGCAGCATCGGTTTCACTTCTATGGCTGAAAACGCTTATGCTTCTGCAATCTTCTTGCTTCTCAAGGTACTTTTTTTTTTTTAATCTGCCTCAGAGACTTATAGCATGGTGGGTCTATGAATGTTAGCCAGTAAATGATTATGACATATAAACCCCGTTCCTTATGTGTATACATACATCCCCAGGCAAAAGTGCATGATCTGGCTGGTGATGATTACAGGACTTGTGCTTTGGGATCAATAAAAGAATGGATTCAGGTACATCTCCTTGTACTAAACACACTGTCTTGATTGGTTAATTGATGATTCCTGAGACAATAGACTTCTCTTACCAGACAGTCCCGCTTCAGTTCCTTAATGCGCTTGGTGATTCCATCAGTTATGATGATACCACATCATCTGGCCGTACCTCTCCTCTAGCTTGTTGTCCATCTCCAAGCTTTTCCAAAGTGGTGACGACTCCTTCCCAAGGAATTCTTAGGTGGAAATTAGGGTTTGAATATTTTGCGTATGAGACACTGCAAAATTTAAGGATAGCCAAACTATTTGAGATCATTCTTGATTATCCTGAGAGGTATTTACTGCTTTCTTTTTACCTTTTTTTTTTTTTTTTTTATCTCCACATATCTTACTTGAGACCCATTTCAAATATTTTTGAAAAAATTATCTTGCAACAGTTCCCCTGCTATTAAAGACTTGAAGCAGTGTCTGGAATTCACTAGACAGCACTCTAAACTAGTCGAATCTTTTATTTCGTCGCTGAAATATCGTTTGCTTACTGCTGGTGCGTCAACATATGACATATTGCATCAGTATGTGGCGACCATTAAAGGCCTTAGAGAAATAGACCCAGCTGGCGTGTTTCTTGAAGCAGTGGGTGAACCAATCAGAGAATATTTACGTGGACGGAATGACACCATTAAATGTATTGTCACTATGCTTACGGATGGAGGTAATGCAAATGGTTCCTGTAACCCTTACGATAGTCTTCTTGATGAGTTAATGAGGGATGAAGAAAGTCAAGAAGAGAATGTTGGTTTTGAATCCGATGATTTTCACACTGATGACAAGCAAGCCTGGATCAATGCATCTCGGTATCATCTTTTCTGTTGTTTTTTTTTTTTTTTTATAATCTTCCATGGCATTGGATTTTGTCTGACCTACTGACCTGTTGTCTTCAGATGGGAACCGGACCCTGTCGAGGCCGACCCTCTAAAAGGTAGTCTTAGTCAGAGGAGGAAGGTAAACATACTTGAAATGCTTGTTGATATAATTGGATCCAAAGAGAAACTAGTAAACGAATATTGTGTCATGCTTGCTGAGAAGCTTCTCAACAAGACTGATTATGACATCGACACTGAGATACGCACTGTCGAGCTTCTTAAGGTACTCTCCACTTTTTTTTACACTCTATCTTCTTGCCAAGTTTTTGGATTTGCTTTGCAAAGTGTTGAATCCTTTCTCTCTTATAATGCCACTAGATACATTTTGGAGAAGCCAGTATGCAAAGATGTGAGATAATGCTGAACGACCTGATTGATTCTAAGAGAGTGACCACTAACATTAAAAGGGCATCTCAAACAGGTTTTTCTTTCTGGAATCTTGTCAGTTTTACAACCTGCTGTTAAGTAGATTCCTGTCTGAATCTTATATGTGTTCATCATCCCTTGTATGTAGGCGCTGAGTTGGGAGATAGTGAGCTGTCAGTTGATATTCTTACCTCAACGATACTTTCAACAAACTTCTGGCCACCAATTCAAGTAGTCCTATATATATTCTTAATTCTGATTTTTCATCCATATATATATATATATATATATGAAGTGTATAGATTATTGTTGATTGCTTCGATTAAGCTTTTAATTGGAGGAGGAATTTTCAGGAAGAGTCTCTGGAGTTACCTGCACCTATTGACAAGCTGCTATCTGATTATGCCAATCGATATCATGAAACAAAGACTCCTCGTAAGCTACTTTGGAAGAAAAATCTTGGCACTGTCAAGGTAAGTTTTCTTTAGTTTTTTTTTTTTTTTTTTTTTGCGTAGATACTTTAGTAGTGAATAATGATTCATGTTTTGTTAAGAGTATCTAGGAGTAGTGTCACTCTGAAATGGTTTATTTGGATGATTCCAGTTGGAGTTGCAATTCGAAGACAGAGCTATGCAGTTCACAGTTTCCCCCACACATGCAGTCATTATCATGCAATTTCAAGAAAAGAAAAGGTAACTAAGCTCATTATTGATAATATAATTTCCTTATTCCAATGTTGCTAAAATCATTGTAAATCGTTCAGCTGGACCTCTGTAGATCTTGCTGCAGCCATTGGAATACCCATTGACGTGTTAGACCGAAGAGTAAACTTGTGGATAAGCAAGGTACATACCGTAATTGTAGTGTTATGGTTTAAACCATTAGTTCATTTGGAGGGAAGAGCATACTTGTAAAGTTTGGTGGTGAACTTAGGGAGTTTTGACAGATTCATCGGGAACAGAGCCAAGGGCCAATGTGTATACGCTTGTTGAATCCATAACTGATACGGGAAAGAAGGAAAGCGAGGAGGAGACTTTGGCAGGTGATGAAGAGAGTGGAAGATGGATAGCCGCTGTGGAAGACCAGCTACGCAAAGAAATGACAATATGCTACGAGGTATGTGTGATGATTGCTTAAGAGGAATTTTTATTGTAGCTACTTGTAACCAAATTCTCAACAATGTTTTCAGAACTTCATTATGGGAATGCTCACAAACTCTGGTAGCGTTGCACTAGAACAAATCCATAACTATCTCAAGGTAGGTACAATAAAAAAAGCGTCAAACCTCTTGTCACAAGCTTGTTTTCTTGGTAATGCTCCTTTTTTTGCTTTGTTTTTGTAGATATTCTGTGTAGCTTACGACAAGTCACTGCAACAGCTTCAGAGCTTTCTTTCTGGGTTAGTCGGTGAAGAGAAGCTAGAGTTTAGAGATGGAATGTATTTGCTAAAAAAGAAAATTGGTTAGAAAATTAAGTAATTAATAACATGGATATTAATAAAGTCTATGTAAACATTCTCTTTAAACCTCTTTTGCAATTGGGTTAATCGTCTTTGCTTCCTTTTTTTTCCTCTGATGATTAGGTAGAAATTCAACAGATGCATGCTTATTATTTATTACACCATCAATTATGTTCCTTAGTATTATTTTATGGATTTAAATGAACATAATTGAATTAGAAAGACAAAAGCCGAACAAGACTCAAGAGAATAAGAAAAGACAAAAGACATCGTCTTGGTAAAATAACATAAGCTTTATTAGAACACACCATCAATTACTAAGAACGAGACTCAACAAGGAACATAAAATAATACTATGGATTTTATGCGAAACAACAAGAGACTCAAGAGAATAAGGAAGACAAGGAAACAGTAATAAAACCCAAAGACGACACGAATTATTAATCAAATTCAACATGGTACTCCCTCTCGAGCGAGAGCCGTGCTTTCTATATAGCCGAGAAACGGTTCTATGTCTCCCTGAAAGCCATGAAAATCACCTTCTATGCGAACCTTGTCAAGAGTGCCACGAACATAGTCGTAGTACACGACATAATGCTCGATGTCATCAAGTCCAAGGAACTTTGTTGGCGCAAAAACGAGCTCGCTTGTAGCACCACTTGTACCGATGAATTTGAGTAGATCTGGCTCAAAGACTACAGTAGGGGTCTTGGGAAGCTGGAATATATGTTTGCACCATTTGTCATCCTCAAGATGCCAGATAGTAAGAGGATCATACTTACCATTAAATTCCGCTACAGCGACTGCCAATGTGTCGTGAAAATTCACAAGTCTAACAAAACCGAAAAAAGTGTAAAACGCGATTTCCCTAGGAACATCGATAAACTTGAAAGTTTCCCTCTCAACGTCAAAGCACATTATGCCTGGGCGATCCATATGTTCACCGATGTCGATAGTTGCAGCATAGTTTATAACACCTCTAAAACAGAATCCACGGTGGGTGAAAGACTTATGATTGAACCCACTGTCAATAGCTCGCCACTTGTTGTTTCCATCTTGTGGCTGCGTGAGGGTGATAACACTTGCAACTGTGTTATAGACACCCTTCACCAAGGATAGGACCTTGAACTCGCCGTTGGCAAGCCCTAGATGGAAGTAGGATTCACGTCGGACGTCTGGCAAAGGAATGAACCTTCCCATGCATGGGTTGCACACCAGCGACTTCTTGTTGTGGAAGAAACACAACAGGTCACGAACGGGTGGAGTAAACACGTATGGAAGCTCAGAGTTGAAGGTTGCGTGTAGGGTCTGCTTTACGGCGGTAAAGGGATTGCAAACCACTGGCTTCTCCAATATGGAGCGAAACTTGCGGTGAGTCATGGACGCGGACTCATTCTTGGACGTGGCTACGAAGAGTATCTTCGGCCTCTGCTCCGAAAGGGATATGTAATCTTCCTCAAAACGTTTGCTCGTGATTGTATTGTGCCAGAACTTTTCAGTAACCATGAACCTCGCCAAAGATTTTGCAGGAAGTTTCTCAAGAATTTCAATCGTTAGCTCCCTAGGTAAGGGAACATCTTCCATAGATAGCTTACAGAACATCTCTCTGACTTCAGTGGTCCTCGTTTTCAACATTCTTCCTGTTTTTTCTTTTATCTGAATACAAGAACTGGTTGTTTTCTTTTTCTTCTCTGATGCTCTGAGAAAGTTATAAGATCATTGTAGACCTACTTATACAAAATTTCATTCATGCATGTAGAAGTAAGACCAGCTGATGCATGCAGAAGTAAGACCGGCTGTTGACGATGATGGTGACCACCTACTATTCTTTTTCATTTCATTGGTTGGTTTGTCTTTATCTATGCCAAATAAAGAAATTATGTTAAAATATTGAAATAGTAAATATATACGAAATCAGATGTGATTTCAAAGAGTTGGATTAGACGTGTGCAGTTTAACCTTACCCAAAAAAAATTTAAGAGAAATGGACCCAAAAGTATCTGCACTCAAATTTGAACCGAAATTCTATAAATGTTTAGATGGGTCTAAAATTTCTCTATTCAAAAGAATTGAAACGATAATGAATCGACTTGAATAGATTTTGACCCAGAAAAAATGATCCAATTAGATTCGAGCCGGTAATAACTGATCCAACCCGACTTGTAAGCATGAATGTCTAAAAAAAAAAATATATATATATATATATATATATATATTCTACTTTTTCATCACTTTATTTATCATTTTGTTGTAATAAAAAAATTTTTGGACAAAAAGAACCGACCTGTACCTAAATCCAATTAATACTCAGTCCCTTTTAAAAAATATTGGTATTAAAATTTTGGAACGAACCGTAAATTATACATAAATAGATCTAAATTTCTAAAATCCGAATAATTTAAACTAAACCCTGAATCAAATATCCGACCCGCATGACCTAAGTGGGACACTCCTCTTCGGCCTACATTTATACTTATTCTGAAAAGCTAATAATAACAGTTACATTTGTCAATAATACATAGTTATATATCTCCTATATATTAATTGAGAAAAATTAGGATCGAATAATAATGTTCAGGGTAATTCTGTCTGTTTCATTTTACTACACCTAATAAAAATCTATATTTATTAAAAATATCACTAAATATAATTTAAAATGTATTTATCTACTTATAAAAATATATTAGTGGTTATATATTTTATAAATATAAAATTATATAAACATAGAAAAATATTTATATCATAAAAAAACCAAGAAAATGTAAATAAGTTAGAAAAAATGAGTAGAATAGCACTAAAAATATTTTTATCACAAATATAGCACTTAAGAATAAAAATGATCAAAATAGCATTTAATGTTTTATCAAAAGAGATAAATATACACTTATATCCCAATGATAAATTAAATTAGATATTAGGGTTGAGAGTTAAGGGGTGAGATTTAAGGTTTAGGATTTATAGTTTAAGGTTTAGAATTTAGGTTTTAGGGTTTTGAGGTTTTGGAGAAAAGATTTCAATAACAATAAATAAATTATGTACGCGGTAGTCGTTGATGCATGTAAGTAACCTTTGTAAAAAGGGAACCTAAAGCATGTAGTAAGAACTAAATATGGTACAATAATTTTGTATCAAGACCCGTATATATTTATTTATTTGCATGCAACCATGCATTAGTCATGCATTAGTGGTTTGGGCGATATAGATGAGTAGTTTTGGTTAAAGTGTTTCAGTGGGAAAATCTTTTTGGTCATGTACATTTATACGATTCATGAACATACCTTTTCATCTGACAAATTATCATTGTTACGAAAATGAGTAATAAATACACACAAACAGTGTACGTACCAGCTTGTGTTTAGTTGTATGCAACACATTACCCCACAAACAAATATCTTTTCGAAGAAGTTTTGGTAATTCACCTTGTCACATAACACAAGCTTATTAAAACGTCTACATAGGTTTTCAAGTCATGAATCATGCATAGTCCGCTAAAAAAGTAAAAACACAAGACAAGGGTTAGTCACTATCTCACATACAAAAGAAAGATAAATTACACCACAAGAATAATTAAAGGCATATGTAGTCGTTGATGTAATTAACTTCTATATAAGATTTTGAAGAAACAAATAAGTTATGTACGCTGTAGTGTTAGATTCGGGTTTATTATGGGTTTCCGACTTAAAATTAATTGGTGATTAGTGGATTGGCTCTAATATTTTATATAGTAGTAGATTAATTTTGAGTGAAATTGGTAGAAATCCTTAACAAAATAGGAAATTAGGGATTTGCCATATTTTGTAGGGAAAGTAGTGATGTGTGGGGAGGAGAGATAAAGGAAGAAATAGGGTATGGAGTGAATTATGATATAAAGTTTATGTGTAAAGTGCAAATACTCATTAATTTTTATATTTCCGATGTAGGATGTTTCTCATCAATATGTAATAACCTTTAAAATATGTAATTTAATAAAAGATTTTTAATTACTCACTTGTTTTTGTGCATGCCTAAGTAAACTGTAATAAGATAGCTTTTTTCTCTCTCTCTCTCTCTCTCTCTCTCTCTCTCTCTCTCTCTCTCTCTCTCTCTCTCTCTCTCTCTCTTATGTGGACCTAGCTAAGCAAAACAGAAATTAGTTTAACTATGTCATTATCTATGACTCTTTTTTGATGGACTAGGACATGCCAACGAAAACAAAGATAAAAAGGTCTAAACACTAAGAAATTAATATTATGACGCTACACGCAACCTGGAAGACTACTATTCCATATCGGTTTTCTAGTGTGGTACGTGACATTGCCTTGTGTTATCACAAGAAACAAACGATTCTCGTAAATCCTAGTGCGGGTCGCTACTTCGAGTTGCCAGAAGTAGAGAAGATAACAACTGGCGAACTCTGGAAGCTGGAATCGGTTTTCTAGTGTGGTACGTGACATTGCCTTGTGTTATCACAAGAAACAAACGATTCTCGTAAATCCTAGTGCGGGTCGCTACTTCGAGTTGCCGGAAGTAGAGAAGATAACAACTGGCGAACTCTGGACGCTGGAATCACTCATAAAGCTTGCGGCCATGGATTCTACTTAGGAGGAACCATCTACTACGTACACTGCAGAAACCGGAGTCGACTACGTATTCAGGGTTGTCTAATAGCATGTGCAAGTGGAGCGGTCGAACAGAGCTCCAAATATAAAAAAAAAAAAAGGAAAAATTAAAAAAAAAATAAGAAATATATAAATAAATAATGATATTTTTTAAAAAAAATTAGATATATTGCTAGATTATAACTTATAATTTTTAAAGAAACATCAAATATAGTTATTAACTTTTTAAAAAAATTCATTAAATCATAATATATCGTTAATTTTTTTTTTGAACATGGTCTAAAATTTATTTGAAACGACCATGTATGTATTAACGTGTTTTGATATCCACACTGAAGAGTTGAAGTCTATCCCCTTTCCCGAGGAACTTTCTAGTAGCTGGCTATATGAGCAGACAGTTTGCAGCTTCAAACGAAATGTTGCTTTGTATTACGACGCTGGTCTTTATTATAGTGATCTAACTCTATGGCAGTATATTGAAGCAGATTCAAAATGGAGCAAAACCAGTTTTACGATTCCACAGATTCAATGTGGACACAAGTTTTTCGGGGCAACAACAGATACATCACTTATCTTTGCACCAACAGATAATAAGTTATCTGAGCTGATTTATTATGACTCCTTGGACGTTACCGTGACCATGGGTATATGGAAACCCTTGCTCTCATCTCGACAGGGACACCCATGTGATCGACGTGAGGTAATTACTAGATGCTGATCTATTTTAACCCAAGAAGATTGTCGAGCTTTTGCTTTTTGTGATTGTGTGCTTAATATAGACTTTTTTGTGAACTTTCTTCTTCCTTGCAGGTTCTTTCAAGTTGTTACTTGTCCTAGTGACAACGCATGCATGAGAAACCTAATTTAGCTTCTTGCTCTATATTTTCGTTTTTTTTTTTTTTTTTTTTGACAACGCACGGTTGATTTATTACTCAAGCTTGAGGTGGTCTGGGAATCCAGACCGGAATAGAACAACCAACATACACCATTCTCGATAGAAAGATCGAGCAGTCTTAGCTAAGGAATCGGAAAATCTGTTATGTGTCCTAGGAACATAGAAAATCTTAAAATCTGGAAAGCAAATCCGCAATGTCGTGATCTTTTCCAGTTCCGTCGAGAAGCTTGGCCAATCCTGTGGACTCCTGAGCATTGTAATCATTTCCTTGCAGTCCGTCCCAAAGCTCTGACATGGCGAATGTTGAAGCATGTTCTCCATTGCCCACTGCAGTGCTTCCAGCTCAGAGTGCAAAGCAGACTCCACTCTATCAAAATTACGCATTCCCATCAACTGACTATTCCCCATCTTATCATTCCAGACCCATCCACTTCCACTGAACTGAGCTATAGAGGTCCAAAACCAGTCCACCATGCAAATATTCCCTAGACTTATGGCATGGCTGTCATCTTGCATGTTTCCTTGAGAGGACAGAGGAATCTGTTCATTTGCTTGGAACCAGGCTTGACATTCACTCTCTGCATATCGGGCTACCTCCAATGGATCTCTATCAATTCCTTTGAACAGTTTGTCATTCCGAGCCTTCCAAATATACCATATAAGCCAAGGATAAGGATCCATGACTAATTTCGGTTCTGCTATGGCGTTCTTCCTCCAAAAGAGATAATCCATGTTCGCATATGTGCTCTGAAGTGGGAACAATGTAGGACTAGTAGGCATCGACGATAAGGCCCAAACTTGCTTTGCAGGTGGACACAGGAAAATGGCATGTATAATTGATTCTTCGAGTTCTCCACAGCGTGGGTAGTAATTGTCACACCTTATATGTCTATAGTTTAAGGTACTCGTAACAGCCACATGACATGTTATTAGTTGCCACATAAGATGGCACATCTTTTGGGGAGCCCGCACCTTCCACGCTTGTGGTTGTAGTTTTGTGATATTAGGTTCACTAACTACATGGGCATCTTCCTGCTTTAAAATATTCCGTGCAACCCAATATCCAGATTTGACTGTATATTGTCCATTCCTTGTATAGCTCCAGCAATATGTGTCCCTACGATGTGTAGAACTAATTGACA